TGAAACCCAATCTAAAGAAGATCATGGATCCTGAAACAGAGCCTTCGAAGCAAAGCTTGAAGAGTTCCGGGAGTCTATATGCCCCTTTTCGCAACTAGGAGAGTATATATGTTTTCTTTGGGACATTGGGGTTTCACACACCACACTGTAACGACAAGCTTTTTGCGTGTCTTTCCTTTGAGTGTCTTTCTGCTGTTCAAATTTCCCTTTTGGCACCTTAGGCTGCTGCCTGGGTGCCCAAACTCTTTGCTGGACTAGCGGCCTTGGACACACGGATCTCCTAGCTAAATCTCTCTTTTCACGAGCTTTATTTAACCTGCGTGCATGTTCGTCCTCCCTAAACGCCTCCAGACTCTCATCACCATCTGCAGGCTGGCTTGAGTGATTTTGTAGGATGTTGTAGGATTTGGCCATTTTAGATCCATCTAGTTTATCTTTCCATGATTGATCACTATCCTCACTGTTGAAGAGGTGCGCCTGAATTTCGTCTTCTTCACCAAATGGCAGCAGGTCCATTTCAGCATAGATTTTAGTCACAATATCTTTAAGAATTTGGCTATACCTGAGATTCAGGTGAGGTTAGGTGGACTTCGATGTTAACAAATAGTCCAAATGGCAAAATAGAAAGCCAAATTGTAATTTATTACTTTGTATTATACAGTATAAATGGTCAAATGAAAGTTAGTACTTAACGTAAGCATCTTAGCAAACTCATTTACCTTATCCTGATGGTCCGCTCAACATATTCATAAAGGCAAACATGACCATGAATGCCTCCTTCAACAAGGTACTGAATTATCTCTAAAAGGGAGCAAATCTGTTTCACAAGCTTCTGTTTTGCAGATCTTCTAATACTCTCAGAAACATCAGAACGAAGAATTTCCATTCGTAGAAAAACCTGCAATTCATATCTTGCTCAAATTAAGGAAAGATATATTAGTACAATGTCTCTACAACATTGTTTTAACATTTAAGTGACAGCAAAAAAAGGATACTCTCTTGCAATAAATTTTGAGGTTGAACTGAAATCAGATACTTCTGATGTAGAATTGTCAAACTCCAGTTTATCTTTCATATCTCTTGGCTTCTGTAATAAAAGTTCCATAAGTTCTGTAGTGATGTTTGTATGAGATATGTCTGAACTTTGCTTTGCATTATGATCAGCTGCAGTATTGTCTGTTTCATATTTTTGTGATAACACGTGTATCGATAACTTTACAAGACGTTCTGCAAAACTCTGCAAGTCTGCTCCAGATCTTAGACGATGCTCAATCCATTGTGGGAGATTACAGAAGAAGACTTCTGCTGTTTCAGGGAAGGAAAAAGATGCATCTCCTTCATGCATTAAGTTTTCTTGAGAGAATAAAGGTGGCGGCAAGTGCTGCTGCTGCGAACAGGGTGGATGAAGTGTTGTTTGCAGAAAATTGCTGCTGCTGCTGTGCTTTTTTATCTGCTTCATCCAGCATTTAAAAAACTTCAGCATCTTTGACTTTTCAGGTTTTCTGGCAGAACAAACTTCTACCATATTGAAATCAGAGCACTCATACGCCGCATCACAAAACGAATTCCAGCAGAGATTCTGATCTGAAGATTTCTTATGCTTTCTTCTTCTCTCAAGCCTTAGAGATTCACAATTATTAGAAGTTGAAGCCTCAGGCAGGGAACCATTTACATATTCCGTATCAACAACAGATGCGTTACAAATCCTGTCTCTTGCACATGTAGACTGTGACTGATTCCAACCATGTTCTTCATTACTATCAATGACTGAGAGCAGTGCTAAGTGAGTTGTCAAAGGTTTGAGAACACCTGAAATCTGTCCATTGTTACTTGAAAGAGAAACCATGGCCTGGTAGCCTTCTTCGTATAGAAAACTCATCAGAATGTTCCAGATGGGCACAGAGTTTCGTTTGGTATTCTCACCCATCTCCCCGGACAACATATCAAGAACCCTATAAGCCAGGAAATCATCAGCAATTTGGCTTTTGCGTTTCTTAGAGACACCAAAACACTCACGCACTAGAATGGAACTCGATGTGAAGTCTTCAACTCTTTTACCCTCATCGTACCGCTGGATTTCATGAATCTCCATCTTTATCACCCCAGCTTCACCAAAAGAACACCAAATTGATTCTCCACTGCATTCGTCACTTTGTGGTTCACTCAGATTCATAAATTCAAGATCACAGCACCTGCACTGTAAGGGGTTTCCCTTCACATCAAGGATCTGAAGATATAGCTGTCCAAAACAGCCCTTACTAGAATCAGCACACTTCAGGAATTGTAAAGAAATTCCTATTTTCGGGTATATCAAACCAAAAGGAACTAGAGCAGAATCCAAAACAATTGAGTCGGTTGAGCAAAACCCCCACCCGTATCTCTTAATTTCATCCTCCAAAAGCATTGATCCTTCAAAGTCGTTAACTTTCAAATTATTCGCACACCCCACGAGACCATCTCTCACATCAATCCAGCTCAAATGAATATCCTTATTAGCAAACGCATTGCTCACTATACCAAACAATTCACGAAATTTGACCGCAAACCCATCTAAAACCTTCGAATTTTCAGAATCCCCTCCCAGATCCATATACTCAGACAAGGAGCTTATGGATTTAGGCAAATGCGAAAACAAAAGCACCAAATTCGAAGAAATCTTAGGAAGCTCGACATTAGCCTTACCCGTGAGATCGTCATTTTCAGATTCCCAAGTGCAATCCAATACGAGTTGGTACAAAGAGCTGGCGACATAGGATGCGCGAGAATGATTTACCACAAGTTCCGCTGGAATGGACATAGATGTGAGGATAGTGGTAAGGGATTTTAAGGTCTCGGAAGGGAGGTTGAAAGAAGTGAGAAATGGGCTACCAATGAGGTTGTCGACGACAGAGGTGGAGAGGTAAGGGCAGAGAGAGGAGAAGAAGAATCTGAAGGAGAAGAGCGATTCAGTGACGGAAGCGAATGCCGTGAGGCGTTTAGCGGTCGCAGAGATCGAAGTGAGGTAAGAGTTAGGGTTCTGGAAAGTCTGGAGCGGGTGAAGATCTATGAGGAGCACGATGCGCTGGGTCTTGGAGTAATCCGCCATCGTTGCAGTATCGGAGATCGATCTAAGGGTGCGCACAAACCCGGTAGAAGATCGATTTCTTACTAGACAGCGGCGGATCGCTTTGACTAACACCCCGTATTCCAGTTCCTGAAATGGCAATCTTGGCGGGAAAATTTCAACATTTCACTTCTGCGAAATGTTTTTTATGCTCAAATAATTGCTTGGGAATTCGTTTTAAGAATGCCAGAATTTTGCTATAGATGATAATTTTCTAAATTTAAATTACCTCCCTCGTTTTTTTAGGGCAACCTCCCTAGTCCTTGTATAATTATTACCAT